AGGAAGAAACTAACGAAATACCTTCATTCCTGCGAAGAATTGCGATGGCGATGGAGCGGAAGGGGTGTAGTGGCAAGTGGCACGGTTACAACGCGAGCGGTCCGGGGATCAAATTGGGCCGTGAGTTGCCTGGACCAAACTCTAACCGAGCCACCAGCCTTCCATCCCTCCGGGGTCGGTTAATTGGTACCAGACTTGTCTGGGAGGATAAAAACACTGACTTGTACATCGGCTGGCCCCCGCAAGTCATTGTATAGGCCACATCGCATTCAAACGCCACTACGAATGTACAAATGGAAGTAGAATGCGTGCCGCATCCCAAAAAGGGATTGATCAACGGCAAATGCTTTATCCTTTATCCTTATCCTTATGACTTGGACGACAAGTGCGCCGTTGGCCGGCTGTTTGAAATGAAGCTGTCATTCTTACTGGGTTCTTGCCATATGAATTTCATTACAGATGGGGGGTTTCGTTCCTTCCTACAAATAGAAGAACATTAAGCTAGTGCCAAACTAAGATTTCGCAACAAAAGCTCACTTTAGCTTTCCTTCAGTATGGCGCAATTACACGTCTGTATTTTGTTGTTCTTATTTGGCACTATATTTCCAATAGAAACCAGAAATGTATAATCGTAAACGAGATTGGGCCGGTCACGTAGCACGTCTGAAAGACGACAGGTGGACTTCCCGGCTTATGAATTGGATCCCGTTGGACCACAAGCGATCGCCGAGAAGGCCCAAAACGAGATGGGCCGATCCGATGGTGAAAATGCTCGGCCAACAATGGAGAAGACATGCTCAGGACCGGAATGAATGGTTCAAAGTCGACTTGCGCAAATTGGAGAAGCTTGCGAGGACGAGTCGGATACAGGTGATACAGGTGATACTTCATAAGGGTTAGAATAGAATATGTGAGCCATCTCCTTAAAGGCATGCCCCAGGATCGCACTGGTGTGGCTCTTGCACACGAATGTGAATGTATCGGTGCCAAGTGGGCCGGCAGTGAAGAAAAAAGGAAAAGAAATCCGTCGAAAACGCTCAGGTTGAGGGCTCACTCACCTTCCTAATTGGCTGTGCTAAAGGAACGAGAGACTAAGCGCGAAGAGGAGAGTATGGGGCGAGAGAGCGCATCAGATGAGAGAAGCCAGGAACAACGGTTTGGCGTCATGTGTCATGTGCAACACGTGAGCTCAAAGAGGCAACTCAGCGCGCCGTACCATGCGCGGCACACGGTACGCAATGGGATACCATTATCTTACGGGTCCTTGTTCACTGCAGGCTTTACGGCTTAAAGGAAGCGGTCACGCTGGCTTCCACGTAGAATTTGCTACCCTCGCGTTATCAATCGATAAGGTGTGAGGCAGTAATTGTTGGACGAGTGTAAGCCCATGGAAGATATGATACGATGAGATAAGAAGGTGCGGCTGCTTGATAAGAGGTGCACTCCAGAATGAAAACGGGACGATAACGATAACGGTATCATATCTAGCACGCTCTTATCGCACCCCTTTCCACATCGATAAGTCTTGGTTTTTGCTGAACGGAAGTGGATTTCGGCGCCTTATCACTCCGTTGATAAGGCGCCACTGCCACTGAAACTTCACGTGTTGTAACACTGGGCAGGACCTCTATCCACTCCAATACATAGCTTCCCTTATCGTTCCCATGAAAATTATCGTGACCACTTCCTTTAAGATAGATTTTGCTTATCGAGCAGAAAATCGTTAAGAGGGTTCCTCACCTGCCGATGGCAACTATCATCCCACGGCGGGGGCCCGGACGGGGGGGGGGGGAAGGCCGCAAGGAAGTGGGGTGCGATTGTTGATCCCAGTACGGCTCCCCAATGTCAATGTCTTTGTAATCCGATTTCTGAAAAAATCCATTATATTAAACTTTTTCCATCCATACTACACCCAGATTGTTCTTACCATCACTAATAACTTGATCTGATCCGCTGCTGTTGGCCGCCTTTTAGCGCACCTTCTAGCACCTGCAGCAGGAACTTTATGTGGCGGATGCGTAAAGGACTACGATGACCGATCAACTGTAACACGTGATGGTTGAAAGAGGTAGCCCGTATTTTTCTTAAAAGCAAATTTACCTTCGAATAAAGCAGCACACGGTTGCCAGGTGACACGAATAAAATTTCCTACAGTAAATCGTGGTGGTCCAATGAATCACGAGCACAACGCTCGCAAAATCAGAAAATCGCAAAATTAGCCACTACTCATTTTCAGAAAGCTCTAGAGCAAACTTTCATGTCCCACAGTTGACTTATTCTTCTCCGGGGCCGATTGCGACCAATTTGTCCAAACTTTTCCATTAGAACAATATCAATCATTCGAGACTCACATCGAACAAGACCAGCAAGAAGTAAGGAGGTGCAGATGAAAAGTGCCATAACTGCCCATTTCCGCCGAATCAGTAACGAAACAACTGAAATCGACGACGGAACTCAGATCTTTTCAACCGCAAATGTAGCGGTCTATTCTGGAGCGAAGTTAAAAGCAGATCAGGGTATTTGATGAGGTAATTCCACTCAAATGTAAAGGGGGTAGGAGGTGGACCACCAGTGGAGAAAAAAGGAAAAAAATTGTGAAATACACAGGAAATACGAGCCTTTTGCTCTACGCTGCGGAGAAGTTCAAAAGGCCGGCAGGGAGATGAGAGAGATAATGTGAGCGCGGAGAGCGCGCTAGAGAAGCCGAGAGAGAGAGCACAGCAGTTAAGTTAGCGACGCAGACAAGATGTCGAGCGGTAGGCGGGGCGTGTCTCGACTGGTGGGCGTGCCGAGGTCCTTAGCGCCTAGAGGCTAAGTAGCGCTTTTCGATGTAGGGTAGTGAAGCGACCTCTGCACTAGCGTACCTACATAGCGCTTCTAGTCACAGTAAAGGCTCGCTAAGTTGGTTTGAGCCCAAACTTTACCTTTAAGTCCAGCATGACTACACACTCATGTTTAAAGGCATATTCAGCAATGGATAGAAGTTATGAGTTGCCGAAAGATGAAAAGCAGTTCTGTAGTGGCATCACTAATGTAGAGAAAAACAAAAAAACAGCAACGACACTGAAAATCACAAAAGCATGCTGATGTGGGGCGGGATGCGCTGCTGCTTGTTGGACGACGAAAATTCCATTAATGGCGGACGCGAACTCTGTCTATGTAACATCAGAGCGGGATTACGATTTCAAGGAGGATCTTCTGATTTTGGCTGTATTCCGCAATGGTCAGCATCTATCACAAGTCATCGTTCAGTTTCTCGTGCGCAATAAATCAGCTTAGAAAGCTTGCAGATGCCTAATGAGGACAGTCAGACCCGGGATTTTACTCTCTGAGCACTAATGGTGTGTGTAACGATGCGCTAGCCCCGGTCAAGAAATAGAGTGTGATTGAACGGAAAACTCACTTAGAAATCGCTGGAAGAAGCCTGACGGGGCTTCGAAAGTGGGCGAGTTGGCAGTCGGCGAGGGAATGCACTTAACACGCCACTTGAGGCTTGCTCAGCTCTTCGAGCGGCTTCCCAAGGCCAGTTTTTTGTTCAGTCACGTTAATGTTCTTGGCGAGGCCTAGCGATATCGTTCCAAACCATTTTTGTCGAAGGTAAAAACCCTGCTGGTACTGTTGCTCTGAGTTTAGCTGCAGTTTATTCATGCTATGGATTTGAGAAAATCGTCTTCTTTGGCTCAGTTAGCGGCGGGATTCCAGAGATAATGGAGTTATCTCTTGATTGGCATTGGAGCGCACCATATGAATGGATCGAATTTCCGCAAATTTTACCAACCACGTGACTGAGCACAGGTGCCAGAAGAAGAACACTGTTTCACCGAACTCGCACAAACATTCCATATGGTCGGCAGAGTCAAGATCTGTGAAGAAGCAGGTCGATCTCGGCGGACATTGAAGGCGGCAGGCATCTGAGCATCAGTTGGACTCGAAACTCATTGGAACGAAAGCCAAATTGTCAAATGGAAGAGAAAACTCAACATATTGTGAGAAGTCCGTCTCCTCTATGAACTCCTGCCTTCATTTGGAACGAGGACGTTCTGATACCAAGCCAGCTCGTTCCACCAGAACCGTGATTTCGCGTCATAGCTCGGCCACCTGGAAATATCTCCTACTAAGGTGCCGTGACTTATACGATAACCCTGCCTACCATAGTATCCCCCTCCTCCACCAGCTACAGGTTCGCATGGAACGGCTACTCCTCCAATATTCGGGAATCCACCGCAAGACCACATTGGATTTGATGGTGAAGAAACCTGAAATTAGCAACGTTAACATACTAGCACCTACTCTTTAGCACTAAGTGTGACTCACTGAAATCCCGGCTTGTTTGTGCTGATGAACGGTGCCTTTGAAAGGCTGTTTTCCATTGCTCAAACCACCAGCAGGACTGAAAAGTCAAATTACTGCACAAATTTTTCTCATTTTTAAACTAGATTTGATGGGAGTAAGCTGCGTGCTTTTTTGAAATTTGGGCTTCTAAAAGCAATGTTTGTGACGTGTGCCCCGAAGAAAATCCGAGTGGCTAGTAAGAAGGCATGAATGGCTGAATACTGACGAAAAATGCTCGATTTCTCGGATTCAAATGATTCCGACTCAATGGTCGGGAGCCTCTCTGTAAACTGAGGAGCACTGCTAAAGTGCTCAACTCTGATACACATACTCCTTCTCGGATACACCACGAAACCGTCCTAAAGTCGGAGCCGTATTGGCTCTCAACGGCATATGTGCAATACACTTGCTTGAATGTGTGTCGATGTGTGGAATGTCGTGTTGGGCAAAAATGTTTTTTTTCCTCGAAAAGGGTGTGATTTATCTGATTCCTAACTTCGGTAGGATGAAAGGCTCGCGTAGTTGAGGTGAAGTTTGAGCCCGCATTTTATCCTTGTTTCATGAAATGTGTAGCGGGGACACCTCCCTCTACTGCCAGGAAAAAATCAGTGCTCTAGTAATCCAATGAAATATCAAAAAATTTCAGGTTCTTCTTACGAGAAATATCATAATTTCATTGATGAGCAACTGAACTTGTTCGGTTTCCCATCGACGTAATCTGTTGGATAGGCTCCACCTCCACCACCAGCAACAATAATGTAAGCGGAATTCACAGACACTGTAGTAGCACCACCGCCTCCAGCTCCATACACCAGCGATGCCTGAAAATACCTTCTATAAGATTTTCATTCTTAAAGGCGGAATTTACGATGAAAAGACAACCCATTTCAAATTAAGGTAGAGATGGTGAGTGATGCACGAAAGAAGAAAAACCATGAAAAACGGCCTAGAACCCGAGAAATGGGACCCCTTCCTTGCCCGTTGATTTCCGCATTGATGCGACTCTCATCGTGCTGCCCTCTTCAACGCTAATACTTCTCTGCTAAACGGCTAGAGACTCAGACACGAGACGACGCGAGAAGGGGGCGTGACGCGCCAATAGCGCGCCAATTGCGCCGCGGGAAGGCCATGCTAGATCGCCGGGGCATATCCTTCAATGCAAATTGCGTGTCGGTCCGCACCCTTAGGAGGTCCGCCTGTCTCTCCGCTCCAATAATCCCTTCTCGACCTTCGTCCTTATCGTGGAATTCACCTCTGTGTGCTATTTTCGCTGCAGTTCGGCACTTTAAAGGCAAATTCCGGGATTTCTGGCGAAATTTAGGTTTTCCCCGTCAAATATGCAGCAGTACGCAAGGGCAGACCATGTGCAGAAGTGGCGGGAGCATTGGCGCCGCCCCAACCCCATTGAGCCCGCCCACCGTCCTACGTGATCTTCCAAACAACCACCTGGAACGCTAGATGTTAAGCCGTTGTTTGGAAAGTCGTAGGGGAATATTTAGCGGATTTCAACTGCGAAAATCAACATCAAAGCCTATGTTACGACCATTTTCGAGAACGTTGTCATCATTCTAGTGAGAAGAAAAAATTTTAAGATAGGAAGCAAACAAAAAAAGCACAAAAAATAGAAAAAAGGGGAAACTAGAAAAAATCAGTTTTCATTGCTGACTTTTTGTGGCCGTGTCGGTTGATGGCACAAAGCCAACAGTTGCTGTAGACATGTCCAAACACGTAATTTTCCCAGCCCTGGTTCGTAAGCGACTAACGAAGAGGAATTTCTAATTTTGGAGTTCTTTGGAGGTATTTCCTGCTTTTTTCATTACCTTCGATCAACTTAGCACCCAGCTCTTCATACTCGAACAGGTGAGTCCCTCGTTTTATCCCGGAGTTTGCCTTTAAGAATGCACTGCGCACTAGACTCCCCTCCACAATTGTAGTGACTTTCTGTGGAGTTTTCGCAACTACTTCCACGTACTAGGCAGCCACCGCACTTCAGCGTTCTCAGCATGGAAAAAAATTTATGGTGGAAATGTGTCATGGAGCGTTCATAGTTGGCGATCGTACGTGCGATTAGGCGATTAGGCGAGTAGGCGATAAGAAGAGGACGTATTGATTTGTTGCTCCGCCCATTGAGCGATCGCCTAATCGCCTAATCGCCTACTCGCCTATCGCACGTACGATCGCCAACTGTGAACATTCCATTAACATTTTTCAAGAGCTATTTTCGATTATATTGATCCACGGATAAAAGCACATTGAACCTGTTTTGACGGTGATACGCCCACTATTTTGCATACTCTCATGTTCTTCTCCGTGCTCATCCCACCACTCCTTCTTGACTATTATATATTTTTTCAAAAGAAACTCACGTTCAGTCGCTTATCTGCATCTTGACCATGGCATAAGCTTTCCAAAACCTGCTCTTTCTGAAAAAAAGCAGCGATAAAAACCATCCATCACCATTCCTACCAAGGAACTCACCATAGAGCTCTTGACGTGTTTGTCACACGGCGATTCTCCTTTCTGTCCGATCGACATTTCTAGTTTAGTACCAATTATCAGTTTTATATCGACTGTTATGCAACCGCCAGCGTTCTCCAAATGTTGGAAGGGAAACGAACCACCTTCGGCCCCGCAAGCAATCAGCCTAAAAAGCAAAAGTTGCAATGAATACAGTCATCATTGATCGATATGGAGGAATCATCCTTAAAATAAATTCTCAATGGGCTGCCTCTTCATCATCAAATCATCTGCCATTAAATGGTTACCAATGACTCCCATACCCCAAGACAGCCGGCGTATTACCCCTCCATCTGAGCTCTCTGCCGTTTCAGGATCAGATCGCTAGCGCCAGGTTTGTTCGGGAGGCTAAAAAGGCATTTGCATCATCGGGGGAACCCACATTTCGTTGTATAGGACAAACACAACCAGTCACCATTACGACCCTGAAAGGAAGTCGGATACGTGGCGCAACCAACACACTATTTATCCAATTCAGACTTTTTTCCTTTTATGTGTAATTCGAATTGTGTCCTAACCAGGAAGGTCTTTCAGGGCGTGACAAGCTTTTTGAAAACGGTCTTTTGCATGATATAGGGGCAGATGCGGGAACCACAGAACCATGTTCAATTTTTCCTGAACGGCCCTCTGAATACCAGAAAAGGGGTCCCTAGTTCGATTCCTCGTGGTGACAAATTTTTGCATTTCGAGTTGACGTGCCAAAATTCGCGCAAAATGGAGTTAGAACCAACCAGAAC